AAAAAATTGATAACGGAAAAGTTGGCAAAAATGGAAACGAAATTAAAAGAGACAATATTTCATTAAATGTTCTCTCTTCTTGCAAACGATGTCAAGAATTGCATAAGAGGAGTGATCAACAGTACTGATGAATATACCGCGAAATAATGCAAATAGCCGATCATTGATGTTGTGGTTCACGTTGGACGGTTATGAAATGGAAAAACAAAAAAAGGGAAAAAAAGTAGAGAGATTAGAAATACTGCAAATGATGGAAATGATATCAAAGTTATACTAGTGACGTGAAATGAAAAATTGACAAAATCGGGAATGCCTTTCAAGGTAAGCCTTGTAAAACTGTGATAAGAAATTAAAGCATTCAAGCAAAAATTAAACCACTTCTTGCAAAATTTTAACATGTAAATTAATTTTAATAAAACAAAGATCAATGGACTTTGTTAAGCAAATTCTTGCCTTTGCAACGACAAATTTCAAAGAAATGCACTCGTTAGAAAATGCATGTAAAGTGTTTGTTTTGTCACCAAATCGTCTTGTCAAATTCAAGTTTTCCTGCTTCTTTCATGCGCATTTCAAGATGTAATTCTCAGGGATTTCAATGAAATTCATGCATTTATTGTTCTTTCTGAATCTCCAAACATGATCCGAAAGATTGATAATAATGGACCTCCGTTATTCAATCATTATATTAAAATCTGGGTAGATAAATGTGTCAATGGCATGATTGAGCGCCGGGATGGTGGTAATGGACAATGAAAGGGTCACGAATTTATATGCAGTAAAAGAGTAAAAAGCTAAGAGAAGAGGAATAAAGAGAGCAAGGCTAATGTGCACTTTTTTGTAAATTTCCTAAAACGGAGTTTTTTTTTTTTCCTAACAAGAAATACACAACCAAAAAACAACAGGTCTGATTAAGGTAAGAACCAAACTAATGGTTTTGTATGTCATAGCAATACATAACTGTAGTAGCAAGTAGCTGATAATTGTGATAACCTGACAACGGACAACCTAACAACGCTGATAACCACTATCATCCTTGGCCCTCTCTTCAAAATCATAATAAAATGGTTTTTACCAACCTGATAAATGGTTCCCCAACGATTTCATTTGCGAATAAGGCAAATGCATTTGTGGTAAGAATGTAAATAGTTGCTAGAATATGTTGGTCTGATCTATGCGACATTTTCAGAACAATATTTAACAATGAAGATGAAAAACGGTAGGTGATAATAGTGACAACAGTGATAACGACGATAATAAAAGTAATGTTGGCTTAAAATAGAATGCTAATATTTCTATTAATATCACGTTAAAATATTTTACAGTGGAAGGAGATGATGGTGCTAAATACATTACAAACGATAAGTGTAAAATAAGTGTTGAATTTTCTCCCGCTGATATTAAGGGATATCTTCGAAATTGTTTTTATCCAACAGGAAAGTCAATAAGTAATTGCGACTCTTCAAAGTGTTATTAAATAATTTATTCTTATCAATTAACAATAAGGACAATTTTAGTAGTGAAAGCAATATT